TGTAACAATAACGCAGATTAGACCTACCCGCCATCCCAGTCGTAGTCGTAGCATTCTATCAAAATAGGCCTGAAAAAATTTCCTTCACAACGTCGTATTATAAAATTTCGGCAGCAGTTCAGCTTGGGGAGGGTAGGGGGGGGGGCATTTTGCACTTCCCATCGTCGTGTGGAGCCATCAAGTAGACTTGTGAAATCATGTGAATTTGTGAAGAGATACCTGGGAAAATTTGTAGAAATTAACTGTCAACTCCGGTAAAGAATACCTGTCAACCTTTAAAAGCGGTGAGTACGACAATGGGAAGTAGCAAAAGTGCATCCACCACTCCCTCCCCCCCCCACGCCGAACTGCGCCAATTCCCAACTTCAAAACTGAAAGTACCGCTTATAATCGTTGGAGCACAACATTTTCACATTCACCTCGAACGGATTCCAAACCGGATTCAACTCTTTCTTGATGACTTCTGTTCGATGGGCTAGTTGGCGGCTAAAAGGAGGTGGGTTCTCCGAGCTAGTGAGTACAACTTTACAGTAACTTACCTTCCATCGTCACTTATTCGATAGATGTTCAAAAATGGATCCGACTTGCCAAAGAAATCCTTTTTGTCCAGTTTTTTAGCACTCAAATGAAACCGAACATTCTCCTTCGCGCCATCATCAACTTCGTCGCAAGATACGGTAATTTGGCCATAATTTTTATGCTTCGTCCCGCTGGAATTAAGATAATCTGAGGAAGATTCACTAGGTCGAACGCCTCAATCAAATGTTCCGAAGGATAAGCTCAATTAGAGACAACTGCCATACCGTACTTTGAAGACCTAGTCTGTACTGATTAACTCTTTCCATTCAAGGGGAAGGTTCAGTCATTATCCGGCCCTACAGCGAGAATGCGAAACGCAGGTCCAGAGCTACGTTCCTTTTTCGCGGTCTAAAAGCTCAGAACACTGGAGCAGTTTTGGCAATGAGGATACGCTGCGTCAAAAGGGTGCAGATATCGTGCCTGTGATGCTGGTCCATGCTTGTTAGCGTGAACCAGTTTTACGAAGGCAGGCTTAGGGACCAAGCATGAAGCGAGCGAGGGTACCATAGTAAGATTGTGATATATCCACAAAGCTTTTGACGGGGCAAACTATATGCCCGAGGGCGTTTGAAGCTGTCGCCAATGCTCTTTAATTTAACGACTTTGATATGAAGGTGGATAGGAGGTATAAGTTTTCGCATACAAGAAAGTGTTGCAAGAGTAGGCGGGTGAAACAGGGTTGTGAGCAAGTGGAACTTCGCACAAAAAAGCGACTCCGGCCGCACTTTCGAGCGGCGATACGCGTATCGCGGTGTCTTGTGCGCGTGAATGCGTACTCTCTGCAGCCGCTGCTTGTCTGTCCAAGGTCGCGGCCGAGAACGCACAAATCTCTTGATGCGTCGCTTAGCAATACGCAAAGCCTGATTTTGAGCCGCTTTCTACTACTTACCGGCTAGTCGGCCTTATGGCTTTTTGTTATCATGCACCGCACCGAAGATCCAGGAGTCAAAGCTGGGCTGGCGAGGCACCGCTCTATTTCTAGACCACTACGAACGAATTTGCGCGACTGGCCCATAACGAATTCTGCTTTTGAAACTTATACCTAGAGATTTTTGTGAATGGGCCGATTCGCGAAACGTTTCCTGCGGCCAGTTTCGTCCTCCAATAGCGGACGCAAGAAACGTCATGGGCGGGGGAACTCCGGGTCGAGCGGTAGAAGTGGTGATTGCTATGAGGGTGTGGCAGAGAAATAAAAGGTGTAAATTATCAAATAGCGAAAGAGAAATAAAAGGATAAAGGATAAAGTCTTCGCCGTTGATCAATCCCTTTGTGGGATGCGGCACGCATTCTACTTCCATTCAGAATCGTAGTGGCTTATTGAATGCGATGTGGCCTATACAATGACTTGCGGGAGGCCAGCCGATGTATAAGTCAGCGTTATTATTATCAGATAGTACACGGTGAAAAAGAAACTACGCTTTGATAGACTTGGGGGGGGGAGCACACCTGTAAATGTGTGTCAGCCTACCAATCCTCTAAACGGTATACATGCGATCAAAGACAGCCTTGTCAACTTTCTCTGAGCACTGTCATCACCAGCTACCGTGCAAACCCCTGTCAAACTTGTCAAAAGCCAATACCATTTAGTCAAGGTTGACAGGGGGTTGCAGGGTACTTGACAGGAATTTACAGAACTTACAGGGTAAGACACGATTGCTCGTTATTATACAGATAGCACGACTTAACTAAGCTTGCTTGACATGATTGCTCAAAAGATTACAGTTTGCTCCCTCTTAAGGTCAGTAGCTCCAGAAATCATCTATTCAATTAAAAAAATGATAAATGGGAAAAAAGAGAATGAGATATTTCCCACTGATTACATTTCGAATCGCATCGTCTGCCGTTCTTCGAAAAAGTATTCGATACGGATTTGAGTCGCCCATTCGGGATTCAGCGTATTCTTCACGCACTCTGTACGTCCACATTCTAACCATTTTCCTTTACCTGGAAACAAATTCTGTCAGTCCTGTTCCAGAATACGCCACGCATTTCACCTCCACTTGGGGTTGTGGGGAATTTGAATGCGATTTGGCCTTTGAAATGGGTCCTGTTCTATCAATGACCCACAGAAATACTTACCAGTGAGTCGTCCAACATATTGCGACACAACGCACATCGGATCACTTTTCGAGAACACATCTTTGTCGAGAAGCTTGCTGAATGGAGCATTTTGAGATCAAACGAATAAAAAGGGTACAGCATTGTTGTGTGAAACACATGGGGGTCGTACTTTTCCGCTGGGGAGAGGAGTTCGTATTTGGTCGTTGGGAGAGGGGGGTCGTATGTGTTTGAGAGAAATTTGCCGCGTTGGGAAAAAACTTTTCTCGGTTGTTGACTTTCGTGAGTTTTCCTGTTTCATGTGTACTATGTATATACCCCTCCCCCTACTCGACAGCAAAATTTTTAGAGAAAAGTAGGCAGGGCGCGTTTTAGTTGGGGAATCCCCAATAGGGGGGTCGTATTTGGCCGCCAGGAGAGGGGGGTCGTATTTGGGCTGGGAAAAATTTATTTTGATAGTTGATTTTTCTCGCTTCACGGACGTTGTAAAGGGAGG